AGAAGCGCCGCTGTGGCCGTGGGCGCTTCATTTCGTGGGCGGCCCGAGAGCATTTAAATGATTTGTTTTCAATTTATTCATTATTATTTGAAAATGTAAATGGTTTGCAAAATATTTGGATACTCAAAGTTGCTCCAAATTTGTTGAAACAAATTTTTCTAGGTTCCTTATCACCAGATCTACTTGGGAAAAATAGTGCATGTCATTTTTGATATACTTTTCTCAGTAGGATTTTATTTAATCATAAATATTGCTTTGATAACTTGAAAAATGTGTAGAAAAATCATTAGTCTTCAGAAAATATGATTCCAAGTTTGTTAATCTTATTATGTCATGTACTTCCTAGGAAAAATATGTTTCATATATGTGCCGTGGGAAAATTTTAAGGTGTAGTTCAAGTACCTTAGATGGCTGATTTTTGTTATTTTTGCTAGAGAGCAAAATTTGTATAAAACATGCATGTGGTAATTTTTGTATAGTGATTATTTACTGTTTAGAATCTAGGAAAAATACTAATTCTGTTGTTTGACACTTTTCATAGTACAAAGTAAATTCATGCTCATTTTTATGCTATAGCTTGTCATTTTTGTGTAGGATAGTTTACTTATCCAAATGCCATGAAATTTTTATGGTAGTCTGTTTAGGGTAGTAGTATGCTACTGTAAGTTTCTCAGATTTTTAGGAGCATCAGAAATATAGGTTGCTATTCAAACCTATTATTAATTAGGGTTTAAGCAAGTGTTGCTTTAAGTGTGATTAAGAAATTAGTAAAGCTTTGGTGTATCTTTGAAGCATTTCATAAGATAGGTTAACTTAACATATTAGTAGTAGAAGAGAATGCAGTAGATGACATGTGCTTGTAGTATAGTTCTTAGATGATGTTGACTACCTTGCATTTCAACATATCCATCGCATTCATCTCCTTCGATGCACCGTTTGCATAATCCCTTACGCGCATTGCATCATACAGATCGCAAACCGAGAACCCGTCGTCATACCCGAGGAGCAGCTCGAGGTGCAAAGCAGCAGGAAGTGCCGAAGCCGGCGAGGAGGACGTTGAGGAACTTCCGGAGTGCCCCGATCACCGCCTCGAAAGCTCCTTCGAGAGGCAAGCCCTGAGCATTTTCCTCCCGGTTTGCAATGATTTAATTAAATGCTTTACTTTAATTGATGCATTACGTTCAGAGTTGTTTGCAACCGTTGCTTTGCATTATACCTTGTTTACCTTTGTTATACTATATCCTTGTTACCCTCGGTATCCGCAATCAGTCAATGCTTAGCTGGCTTAGACCGGTAGAAGTCGGTGATTTCTGTCACACCGCGAGCTATAGGTGGTTACCGGATCTCGCTTGGATGACTATGAAGTCATGGTATAACTAAGTGTTAAATGAAGTTGAGACCGGACGGAGACTTGCGAGTTTTTGGACCGTAGTGTTTCCGTCTCGTGGTCGATTAAGGACCGACCGTTGTTGGGCCTCGAGTCATGTTGAACGATGCCTTACATTTAGTCGGCCGGATAAAGTATCTTCCGACCGCGAAGCTGGGAGATTTTTTGGGCCGAGTGGATTGCCCGCAGCGCACTGTGCCGAAGCAGTGTGGTAGGACACGGGGGCGGGATGATAAGGCCAAAGTGCAGTCGGTCGGCCCCCGGGTACATGTGGTTCCTGGCAAACTCGAGATTCCTGGAAAGTTGACTCGGTGATCAATATCTCACTTTAGCGGGTGAGTGAGGTTTGTGTAAGGAACAAATCACCAGCTGGTTAGGAATCGATTCGAATCGCCATCGCCCCTGGATAGTGAGCACTTGACTTGAGTTACTTCATCGTAGTAAATGTTATGAAACACTTGGACAGTTATAATGAATATGACAGTATGGAAGTTGCTTAATGATCATTGATTATCATTATCTGCTTAATCACATGTTTACTCTAGTATAGGTGCAAATCTAGTTGACAGGTTAATAATAATTAACTTGGCAATAATGCTTTTAGAAAGGTTCTTGAAATACTAAAAATGCTTCTTTTTGCAAATGAGTCAGCTACCCTACTATAAAGCCCTTCATAATCCTTGGTGTCATTTATTTTCGGTTATGTCGGGTAAATCCGGCCGAGTACATTCTCGTACTCAGGGTTTTATTCCCACTTGTTGCAGATGGGCAGATGTACTATGGCTACTGGTATCAACTGCCTGTATCCTGCGATGGGTGATGCTTAGGACCATGGGCATGGTCATTCCTTACGCCTCGCCTAATGCTTTTGTTGGAGATGATCATCACCGGCACTATATTTGAACTCCGTGTGAGTGTGTGTGGTTTTAAACAAATGACTTCCGCTACTTTTATTCGAACTTGTTTTGTAATAACTATGTTTAAACTCTGATGTATCTGTTATGCAAACTTTTATGTAATATGTGATTGGTGACCGCTAAACTTATTACGATCATAGCTGGGACACGAGTTGGTTTGAAATCCTTCGTGATTTCACGGACTACCGGGTTATACGGGCTTAAGTTTGCTCAATCGTCTGCTCTGGTGGATGATTTTCTTACTTAATTTCGTATAATTGGTCGGTTCTGTTACAGTTGCGGTTGAGGCTCGCTTGAAAGAATCTCGTGATATTCATAGATCACATCGTCCAAATATGCATGTCATACAAAGCTATTCCGAAACAATGAAAACAAAGAATAATGTTTGTTGCTGAATTTGTGTGGCCAGCACAAACAAAATTGGTTAATTGTCCTTCTCTTAAGCCGATACATAAGAATCAGCAAGAGGATTTGAAGTTTACCTTTGATGTTTCTAAATGTGACAGGATCTTTCATGAATTGCTAAAATTTGGTTATATTAAGATATCTCATGCATTGCCATCACTTGATGAGTTAAAGAGAAGGGCTTATTGCAAATATCATAATTCTTTTTCTCATGCAACTAGCGATTGCAATGTTTTCTACCGACAGATCCAATCGGCTCTCAATGAGGGACGATTGAGTCCTACTGACATGCAAGTTGATAAGGTTTCGTTCCCAGACAATGTACTTGAAAAGGGGGGAGCCTGCTGTTTTGATTCGTCTAGGAGCAAGCCGACAAGCTATTGGCAAGAATGTCATTATCGGCGAACCTCAGGAAGCACCGAAAGTTGAGAAGATTTTGGGGCGTAAAGTGGTACTTGAAAAAGATGAAGATGGCAAAAACAAGCTCAAGATCACAGCCGGGTTAGCAATGCAGTTGAACAAAGCAAAGGCAAGACGAATCGGCGGCGGCACTGTAGAAGCCGACGAGGCCGACTCCAGGAGTCGCCCATGCTGGTTCTAGCCCAGGCACAGTAGCCCAGTCGGCTAAAGCCGACTTGGCCAGTTCCATTAGCTCCGGTGGCTCTGGTTTGCGTGTCCTGCGCACATACATGTCGCCCTGAGATTGGTACTTGGAAGAATAATGTGGAGAAGAACAAAGGGAAATTCATGAAGAGACAATGCACCTTTGATAAACTCATAACCAAGTACATGCAACAAAAGGCTGATTCTATGAATCGACCATTAAAAAAGAGAGCTACACCTCCTAAGCAAGATGATCAATCCAAGCAGATTGTGGTGTCACAAGTAGCAGCTCCATTGCAACAAAGAGTTGCTCCACGCGTCTCATTGGGGGTCCTCCAGTTTCACCTCCCATACAACCACAGTGGGGGCCCTATGGAGTTTGGGTGCCATACCCTCCGACAGCATCCATGCATCATCAACAAAGGCGGGGAGAGCCTACTGGTCATGATCCACAACATTTCGTATTCAGCCGATTGGGCAATGGTCAATCGAGCTCCAGCAGTGCATGCCAAGGTCGGGTAATTACATCAAGGACCTTGACCCTCAAGAGATGAGAAAGGCACTCATGCAACAAGTTTATGTGCTTAAAAAGCAAGAAGAAGCTCCCGTTGCTCCTACACCGAATTCCGATCCTCTTCCATCCATAACAATCAGCTCCACGGAGGTCCCTATAACAAATAATGATGGCCGATTGTAATCGAGGACTTAACTCTAGCAACAACTCTCGTTTTAACCGGAGAGTGGCTATATGAAATTTTCGTCTTGCTTTCGTCAATTGGTGTGGCGTCGGCATGCGGCTCAAGACTAGGGATGAACACAGATGGAAACAGACGGAAAAAAACCCTCTCCTATTTCCATTTCTATTTTTTTTACAGAAACAGGACCACATTCAGAAAAAGCCCGTATCGAAAACGGAATTGGAATATCCGGACATACAGAAATGGATAAATACGGATGGAGAGCCAAAAATTTTAATTAGTATCACATAATCTAATATTCTCAACAAAGTATACATGTATAAATAAAGTAACACAATAATATACATAAGGTCTAATATTAATTAGCATGCTATGTATGTTAATGCATATATGGTGATTAGTAGTTGTATTAACATAATACAAGGATATGTAATTGTTAGACATGTTGCACATGAATTAAAAACAGGATGAAAACGAGATAAATATAGGTCCATCCTAAAAAAAACAGGTGGAAAACACCATCTCCCATTTCCGCAATTATGAAAACGGGATCCTTCCGTTTCAAATCACAGTTGGTGTCATCGCACGCCCCTACGGCCGTCCACGCGTCTCCCTCTGGTTGGCCAGAATTGCTGTCGCGCCATGCCGCTTTCCGCGGTCAAACTTCACTTCCACGCTCCGCAACCGCAACAGTCAGTCATCCGGTTCGGTCACATCGCACCACCGGCCGTCCGATCCCCGCCGTCGACTGATCTGTGGGCCCTTCTGGAACCCGCTCCAAGCCGTCCGAGTCATGGATGCCTACGCTACACAGCCGCGTCTCGTGTGTACCCTTGAGTCCTTGACTGGAGCCAGTCCACTGTCTTGACCGACCCCTCTGTACCGTACGTAGTGCTATAAACCTGCTCGCTGCCCTAGGTAACGTTTCCTACTTTCCTTTACGTGATCGACGTGCGAGCGCCCGTCGATTTGTTTCCGTGCCTCGCCACCATGATCACCGTCGATGATCTGATGAGGAGCTGTGGCGGCGACAGCGGCGGTATTCCAGTTCCTAGCGGCGACGACGGGCGGCAGATGCTGGCGATGGGCGACCACCACCAGCTGACGGTGTCCAGGATCCGGACGGCTGTGTCCATGCTCAACCGCCGCACGGGCCACGCGCGCTTCCGCCGCGGCCCCGTCGCGGAGCAGCATGCATCGTCGGACCAGCTGCACCCGCCGCCGGAGAGCGCGGCCGGTGGCGTGGCGCTGGACTTCGTCAAGGCGTGCGAGGCGAGGTTCAGCGCGTCGGCCTCGGGGACCAGCTCGTCGCCGCCGTCGACGACGTTGACGAGCCTCACAGTCACAGCCGGCGAAGGGAGCGTGTCCAACGGCCGCGCCCAGGGTCGTTACCTCTTCCAGCCTGTGAGCGGCGGCGGCGGCGGCCACTCTGCCGGGAAGCCGCTGCCACTGGCGGTATCGATGCAGCAGCAGCAGCATGCCTCCCCCGATTACTTCCCAGGCACCGCGCTGAAAAACGGCAAGTGCCACGACCTCGCGCGCTCCGAGAACGACGCCTGCGGCAAGACACACGGCGACCGCTGCCACTGCTCCAAGAAACGGTATATACATATATCGCCCGCTGCCACTGCTACCAATGATCGGCTCGATAATTTGGTGAATACTACGTAGTACTATTTCGGATGAGCTGTGAAACGACGATGGCATGCAGGAAATCGCGCGTGAAGCGGATGGTCCGCGTGCCGGCGATCAGCTCCCGGAACGCGGACATCCCGCCGGACGACTACTCGTGGCGCAAGTACGGCCAGAAGCCCATCAAGGGCTCGCCGTATCCCCGGTAAGAAACGAGATAGTAACGATCAGTAACCGTCTGATCAATGAATGCTGCGACTGACCATGATATTGATATGTATTTGAATTTGATGCGTGCGTGCGTGCGTGCAGCGGCTACTACAAGTGCAGCACGGTGCGCGGGTGCCCGGCGCGGAAGCACGTGGAGCGAGACCCCGGCGAGCCGGCGATGCTCATCGTCACCTACGAGGGCGACCACCGCCACAACGACCAGCAGGACCGGGCGGCCGGCCGCGCGCCGCAGACGGAGCACACGACGACGACGTCCAGTTGAATTTCAGAACTAGTAGTCTCCGCCGTGGGCCCCGGCTCGGCTCATTTTCTCTCGTTGCCCAGTAGAAATTTCATGGAGTTGTGAGTTGTCGCTGTAGTTTCTTTTTCGTCCATCGGTTCGTCAGACTCGTAGTCGTAGTCGTAGTCGTAGTAGTGTCACGTCGACGTCGCTTGTAGAGGAAATTCAGGGAACCAAAGATATCACACGGTGTTTGGATATTTGACCATGAATGAATGATGCGTGTAACTTCTAGAGGTTGATTTGTACTACGCGTTAATTGGCGTATAGTGGTCAAACAGGAGATCTTTTGCTCGGTCCCGGACGAAAGGGACAGGACATAGCGCCGGAGCTAGAAGTAGGCCCAGATGCAAAATGGAGATATCGAACGATCTTTCCGCGTCAGCTGCTTATTACAATCGCCAATACCAAACACGTCTCACCCGGGAAGAGCAGGACCTGCACGTATGTGCGGCCGCACGGTATATCTCAGCCATTCTTCTCCTCCAGCACAAATCTTGAAGCATCTCTTCTCTCTCCTCGGCCATTGCTGTCTGCTTCATGCAGCTTCTCCCTTGGCCATGGCTCCAGCTTTCTCTTCCTCTCCCTCCCCTCTTCTCCATCTTCGGCGGACTTAGAAAGGAGGTTGAGGGAGGCAGGCTGGCCTGGCGGTGGGGACGGGAGAGACGGCGGCAAGCGTAGGTGGCGGTGACACAGCCAGAGCAGGCGGCGGAGGAGGTGCCCGAGCGGGGTTGCGGCGGGGGCGCCATCTGCAGCTCTGGCCGGCACCAACCCCTCACACCGGCGCCGACGGTAGCGTGTGGCCGCGGCCACCACTACGGGATATAGGAGCTTTGCCGAGTGCCAGGGGCACTTGGCAAAAGCCCCAAAAACACTCGGCAAACCGTTTACCGAGTGTTACACTCGGGAAACGACACTCGGGAAACCATTTAACGGCAAACGCTGTTTGCCGAGTGTTTTTTTTCGGGCACTCGGCAAAGACTTTGCCGAGTGCCCCAAAAACACTTGGCAAATATTTTTTGAAAAAAATAAAAAAACAAGCACCAACCACCGGCCGCCACCACCACCGCTACCACCAAGCCCGCCTCCTCTGCCTGCTCCGCCACCACCACCAAGGCCACCTGAAAGGTCCTTGTGTGGTTTTAGTAATTGAGTGGCAACCTAGGTGGACTAATTGTGTTTATGTGAGATACACAAGTGATTAGTCCACAGGTACATGTGTGTGAGCAACATATGCCATGAAGACGAAAATGGCTTGGAGATGTTGCAAAGCTCACACATATGATGGACGAAGGTGCTCATTGCACATGAGACATGACATTGAGTCATGTGATCAAGGTGGAGAAGATCAAGACAAGACTTAGCTTGATGGACCGGTTGCAAGCGTGAAGGGCAAGTCGGAGGCTTTGGAGCGATGGACCGCGTGGCGGTGAAGCTTGAGCAAGACTTGGCGCCGATGGACGAAGACAACGGTGAAAAGCAAGTGAAGTCAAGATCGATGAACCAATATGATCACGTGATGATATGAAGTGGATCATATCATTGTTGATCATATTGGTGCATGTGTTGCATCGACATTGGAGGAGATGGAATGGAATGCGCAAGGCAAGGATATAACTTAGGGCATTTCATTTCACCGGTCATAGGTGTGTAGAGAAGTTGATGACCGGGTTTAGGATAGATGGTCGTACTATCAAGAGGGGCAAACTTGTTTGCATATCGGTCATCTAGTGCCACTCGAGTGATCTAACTTTACATCGTCGCTAGGATTGAGTGGCGTGGCAAGTTGAGTGGCTAATCCTTTGAAAAATAATTGTGAAAATGCTAACACACATACACAAATGGTGTACACTTGGTGGTGTTGGCACATTTATAAAGAAGATAAAGTTGGAGTTGATGTGGATCAACTCGACGGTGAAACAAAGGCGAGAAGGGTTAGGAACTCCACCGGTGGAGTGTCCGCCCGTACAGAAAAGACAGGGTCTCACAGAGTGGACCGGACGCTGGTCATGTGGTGATCGGACGCTGGGGTCCTGCGTCCGGTCAGTGGCGGCAGAGAGCGTGCAGGCGTCGGTCTTCGACCAGACGCTGGCGCTGAAAGTGACCGGGCGCTGGCAGGGTGCATCCGGTTAGGCTGACGTACGGTGATGTAGGCGACGTAGAGAATGTGGAAAAGGACCGGACGCTGATGCCGTGTCCGATCGTGACCGACCAGACGCGTCCGATCGTGACTAGTACCTTACTAGAAACGACCGGACGCTGGGGTTGCTGCGTCTGATCACTTTGAGCAGCTGCGTCCAGTCATCACTTGACCATTGAGATCAAGCGACTGAGGTTGAACGAAGGCAACACATGGCAAGCATCTGTTGACCGGACGCTGAGGTCCTGCGTCCGGTCGTTTCGACCGGCGCGTCCGATCGTCCCGAGTTTGGCCCAGTGAAGGGGTAACGGCTAGTTTAGCCCGTGGGGCTATACATAGAAGGGTGTCTTGGCCATGGCTGGTGTTGAGCACCTCGGGGGACTTTGTGTCCATGCTTGAGAGTGCTTGGGAGCCCTCCATCGCACATATGCTTGATAGTGATCATCCGATTGTGTGAGAAAGCGATTCTAGTGCGATTGCATCGTGAGGTTGCATCAAGTGGCACTAGATGATCGAGTTGCAAGCCGGTGGTGCTTGTTACTCTTGGAGGTTGCCACCTCCTAGATGGCTTGGTGGTGGTCTCCGTCGAAGCCCGTAAGAAGCTTGTGCGGTGCTCCGGAGAAGAGCTTTGTGAGGGGCATTGTGCTCACCCCGCGGAAGCCACGAAGAGCAACTCTAGTAAAGCGTGTCATTGAGCTACCCTCACTTTCGGGGTATGTTCTTGCGGTACCCGATGTGCAGGCTTGGCGGGTGATGCCAATTAGCCGCTGAACCACCAAGTGAGCGGTCGACACAACGGGGACTAGCGTGTTGACAAGTATGGCGTGGTAGGCGGTGTTGAAGTCGGCGATGTAGAAGTTGATGTGCTCGACATGGTAGTTGCTAGCCGTGCCGAATTATACCGGGAGGGTGATCTCTCCAAGCAGTTTGGATGCCCTGCCAGGCACCACACCCCAGAAGGAGGAGTCGGAGGGTGTGAGGTCTTCTATTCTAAGGACCAGCTACTTTAGGGCTCCGGCAAAGAGGAGGTTCAGAGCACTTCCGCCGTCGACAAGTACTTTCCTGAAAAGCACTTTCTTGAATTAGGGGGAAACACCCTATGTAAGGGATGTCCACCCACTGGTCAACTTTGCTGAAGGTGATGGGGACCTCAGACTAGGGGCGGTAGCTAGGGTTGGCGATGGCGTCTTTTGTGTTGACGGCGAGCACCCGGCGGGCGGTGAGCTTTTGATCTCTTCTACTCTTGGCGATGGCGAGGCCCCCAAAGATGGTGGTGACCACTTTGTCATAATCCTGGAAGGCGTTGTTGTTATCCCCAGGTGGTCGGCGACCTCTGGCTCTATCGTCGTCGTTCTTCTTGGCTTGGAACTCCTTAGCCAAGCCAAGGCAGTCCTTCATCTTATGCTTGCTGTTCTTGTGGAGAGGACACGTGCCTTCGAGGATCTTCTTGTACTGCGCGTTGTAGTTGCGCTTGGCGCGAGGTTCATCAATGACAGCGATGATGTGGTATGGTCAGCGGCGGTGATATTGACCAGCTCTGGACCCTTCCGGCCGATCATGACCACTGTCCTGACGGTGGCTATGGCCGTCGTAGCAGCGGTTACTGTGGCGTCGGTCGTTGGGGCGCTCGTCGCTGCGGTGAGTTGGGCGGTGAGTGCCCGCATCCTCGTTGAAGCGTACTTTGGCCTCTTTGGTGTCGGCGTACTGATCGGCGGTCATGATCATCTCGCCAATCCCCTTTGGCGGCTTACAATTGAACTTGGAGCGGAGGTCGCGGTGATGGAGTCCTCGGATTAAGGCGGTGATGACTTCCGCTTCCGTGATGTTGGGAATAGAGTTCCTCATCTCAGAAAAACTTCTGATGTAGCTACAAAGGAGCTCGGACAGTTTCTGATAGATGCGATTCAAATCATGCTTGGTGCCCGGCTGAGTACACGTAGCCATGTAGTTCTCGGTAAAGACCTCTTCAGCTGTTCCCGGGATCCGATGGAGTCCAGGACGAGGCTTATGAGCCAGTTCATCGAAGTTGGTGTGAGCATGACGGGAAGATAGTTTGCCATGACACTAGTATCTCCCCTGGCAGCGCGCACGGTGGTGGCATAAGCATGTAGCACTGTGTGGTGTTCATCCGCCCCTCGTAGGGCTCAACCCCGGTGATTTTGAAACCATGGGGGCACTGGAGTGCTCGGAGTGCCCTTGTGAATGCTCGGGGCCCTTCGGGATCGTTACCATCGTGATCTGCGGCTTTGCCGGCGTTGAGTGGCTGGAGGGCTTCGTCCAGATTACCAAACTCTTGCTCGTATTCTTGATGCCGGCGTACTTCCTCTTCATGGCGAGAGAAATGGCGCCCGTCGATATGACGTCGCTCGTCTCAGAGATTGTTGTTGTGCACTCGGACATCTTGTTCCACTTCTTGATCGTGTTGGCGAGGGTAGTTGATGTTGTTCCCCCAAGCTCCCCCAGGAGGGGTTGTCCATCATCACGCTGTTGATCGGTGAAATAGCTTCTGCTGGGGTGGCGATTGGATCTTGGCACGACGGATCGGCGAATCGAGCTCGTCGAGTAGGAAGGTCTCTAATCTTAGCGGATCTTATTGACCTGGCAGTGCACAACTTTGAGCATTACGATGACCTTGGCGACTTCTGGCGTTTGCTCGAGCCGGGTGAGCTCATTGGTGGCCATGACCAAGTTGGCGCTTGGGGTCTTGTAGACATCATGGCCGTCGATAAGGACAAATTCGTCGTCGAGGTTGCGTTGGAGTGGGCGTGGTGATGAGGACATGACAACCATGCATCTGACCATGTTTGGCGCATGGTATGGAGGGGTAGGAGACCAGCAAGGG